AACATAAAAGAAGAGGTAGGGGCACAAATAAATGAACTACAAAAGCTACTTGCAGTAATAATCCAGGAGAATTTTCCTAATTTAGCAAAAGGTAAAGATACTCAGATGTATGAAGCATACAGGACCCCAGCCACCTACAACCCAAACAGAGCTACACCCAGGCATATAATAATCAAAATACCAGAAATCCAATATAAGAATAAAATATTAAAAGACATCAGAGATAAGGAACAGATCACTTACAAGGGAACACCCATCAGAATTACAGCAGACTTCTTGGCACAAACCATCAAATCACGAAGAGTGTGGGGAGAAATAATTCAAGCTTTGAAAGATAATAACCTCCAGCCAAGATTGATATATCCTGCACAACTATCCCTGGAAACTGATGGAAAAACAAGATGCTTCCAGGATAAAGAGGAACTAGGGGAATATGCAACCACCAATTCAACTCTACAGAGAATACTGCAGGATAGTCTAAAAAAGGAAAATACCAAGAATCCAAAAATAGTGGCAGAGAGGCCACAATGAATGGAGCAGAAAACAAAATGAAGAAGACAAACTGACAACTAGTGCTAGAAAAAGATCTCAACAGAAATGAGGCAGAGAAGATTGGATGATAGGAACAGCTATTTTGGAGAAAACGATGTCATAATAGGTAATGCTGATTTAATATCATCTTGTTTTGAAGTCCCATCAAGCTTTTCTTCTTCTGTCTCCATAGGTCTTAAAATGCTGTATCTTATTGCATTTTATTATATGTGATAGAATAAACAAAAACTTTTATAGACAAGGAGATTATTTAGAAACCATTGTTCATTTTCTGTTAGTTGATTCTAAATACCCTGTAATACTGTCATTCTCTTGAATGGTTTTACATTGTTTTGATATATTTGATGCTACAGTATACAAAGTTATACTCAAAGATTTCAAGGAAAGAGACAATATGGTAACTACTTTTATGTCAGGATTATCTTGTGGTGAAACACTATTTTGCTTAAATGGTTGTGTTTTGATCTGCGCTGTTTTGTTGTTATGCCCTCTTTTGTCTCAATCTCCATTGTATTATTTACTTTTTGTTTTTATCTTTTTAATTAAGGGAAAAATAAATAAAAAACTAGCAGGATATATTATAGTAACCCACTTTGATTTTCTACTAACTTGATTTGAAGCCCTGTATTGCTCTCACCATCTTGTTTTGACTGATGTTAGTCTATTCTGTTTTGCTTGATGGTACCAGGTTCGAAAGTTTAGGCAATAGCTGTAAAGATAGAGGGATTCATTATGACGCCCATTCTGGTTGACTATTATCTACCTTTGAAGACCTGTAATGTCTCCAATGTTTTGGTTTTGTTGGTTTCGTTCTTTACTGTTTTGTTCAATTTTATTATAGCTGATGATATAGGCAATTCTATTTGAGATAGCGGGAGGCATTATGGTAAACATTGTTGATCACCTTGTATTATATTTTTACATTATCTATTATATCCACCTTTTTGATTTGACTGACTCTGTTCTGTTATGTCACATTTGGTTTTACTCTCTTCCAAAAAAGCAATAAGAACTGTGGGAGCAACAAAACCCAAAATGTGTAATAGTCATTGTACAAAAGAGAGGAAAAGAAAGTGCTCTAAATGATATAACTGCATGTATATTTAAGTGTATAAGATAGACAATGATATTACTGAGTTTTTTTGGATCATTGAACAGAACTGTTTGCAGTCTCACTGTTTGAATGTCCACTTTATATGCTTTAATTTTGTAACTTGAACAAATATTTCTAAGATGACAATATATAATCCATTAACTAGTGATTTTCTACTGTTTTTTTCTGAAATTCTGTATAATTTGTACCCTTTTTCTGCTTTTTTTTCTTTTTCTCCTTAGATAGAATTAATATATATATATGTAAGTAATTAAAAAACATCAGGCCCCCTAATTCAAAGGCCCTCACCAGATATAGGCACCTGAGATGAACACACATTTCTCAGATGAAAACATACAAATGGCAAATAAATATATGAAGACCATTACAGGTCATTCAAGAAATGCAAATTAAGATAGCACTGAGATTTCGTCTCCAGAAAGAATGGCCACCACCAAGAAATCAACTGATAACAAATGTTGGCAAGGCTGCAGGGAAAAAGGAACACTGGTCCCCCGTTGATGGGAGGGTAGACTGGTACAGCCACTATGGAAATCAGTAAAAAAATTCCTCAGAAGAGTAGGATTGGAAGTTCCATTCAATCCAGCTATTCCCCTCCTGAGTATTTTCCCAGAAAAACTGAAAAGATCATGTCACAGTGATATAGGTTCACCCATGTTTATAGCAGCCCAATTTGTAATAGCCAAATCTTGGAAACAAACAAAATGCCCATAAACCACAGAGTGGATGAAAAAGATGTGCTATTTTATACAATGGAATATTACTCAGCTATATAAAGGATTATCTTGAGGCCTTTACAGGTAATGGAAGCAAATGGAGACTGTCATCATAAATGATATAAGAATCCTATTTATAAATATCACATTGTCTCTCTTGTGTAAAAAATAAAAAAAATTTAGGAGTAATAAGGTCCTAAATGTGTAATAGTTATTGTAGAAAAGAAAGGGAAGGAAATTGTGCCAAAGGATACAACTGCATGAATGTTTAAATATGTAAGATAGACAACCACATTACTAAGTTTTGGTTGAATCATTGAACAGAACAGTTTGCACTATCACTGTCCACTTTTTTTTTTCCATTGGTACCGGGGATCGAACTCATAACCGCCTGCTTGCAAGACAAGGTACTTATGCTGCTGAGCTAAATCCCCAGCCCCAATTGTCCACTTTCTATGCTTCAGTTTTGGGACTTGAACAATTATTTCTAAGATGACAATGTGTAATTTATCAACTAGTGATGTCTTAGTATTAATTTATTTTGAAATTCTGTACTATTTCTCCCCTTTTTTCTTTAAATAGAAAAAGCATGGCAATATATGTAAAAATAATTAAATTTAGAGAAGCAAAAAATTATTCCAAGCCCAAATTAGAATAAGAACAGAAGATATAAATCTTGGTACCCAACAGGACATTTTATGGTAAAGAAAATATATGTAGTTGATTAGAGCTGCTTGATGATATCTAGGTAAAGGAATAATTGAAATGGACTATTGCTACTGAGTATTTGAAATTAGTTATAAAACTTTAAATTTTATGAAAACATAAGATTAGTAATTACTGTATTGGGAAAAATATATCTAGGATCTTGGTAAAAGAAATTCTTTGATATAGATTTAAGATAGTGATGAAAATGAAGCAAATTATCCAATTATATGAGTAATTTTTAAGACAATGGATGTACCTTGAGACCATGATGTTGAATGAAATAAATCTAAAATTTAAATATCACATGGTTTCTTTTATTTGAGAAAGACAAAGTATAAGTAAACACAAAATAAAAGCTAGCTAGTAGGAAGAGGAGTTTTTCTTGAAAGAAAATGGGATCAAGAGGTTGAAGAAAGCATAGCAAGAGGAAGGGGTGAGGGGAGGGAAGAGGAACCCGGAAGTGCTATGTGTTTGCACCGGCTCCGCATGGGGAATGGAAACAGAATGCATTGCAGACATACACTATAACACCGCTGTTAAATGCTTAAACAGTTATGTAATGGGAATGGTAATAAATGCTGGTAAAATAAATTGAAAATAAAATTTACGCATCATAAGATAGTGTTTTTTTAAATATAACAAATTTCTAGCAATTGGCAGGACTTGCTTCAAATCTAATTCTTTGAAGACTTTACCAGAAGCCAAGTTTGGGGACAGGGAGGCCATCTAGTTTCTGAGGTGGTTCCACAGGAGGCAACAAAGTACTCTTCTCCCAAAGTGGCGAGTGCTGCAGTCTCTGCTGCTCTGGGAAAATGCATGCTCTGCTTGGCTCCCCTTTACGGAGACGCAGCCACGGAGCAAACATGATCAGGGCCATATGGCAGGCCAGACTCCCTAATTGCACACACCTGACCCTAATCAGTGTTCCTTTGCTGAATACCCAGGGTTTTCTTTGATTCTCCAGATTGGTATAAAGTTATAACCCTCACTCAAAATGAGTACAAAGAGAAAAAGCCGAGTTACATTAGAAAGACTCAATGAACCTGTTATTCATTTAAAGAATCTGTTGTTTTCCATGTCTGAGGAAATAATGTAGGTTTTAAAGATATAGTCGAGAACCCTACACACTGGGAACTCATGGACAGTTAAATAAAATTTGAGGGAAGACACTTATATGGAACCTGTGAGCTGAGTCCCACAGACCACACTGATGCATAGCTGTACGCAGTAGCTCTCGTGATTACTAGCAAGAGACCCAAAGCTAATGAGCAAGTGGAAGTAAAAACTATTAATTTTCTTTATCTATACCTGACTGATAGGTTGGCTTACTAAGATTTGTCCAATTCAATTGTTTTCTATGACTCTATTTGCTAAATGTTGGAGGATCATTTTCCTGGTTCAGTCTCTCAGGATCTACTTTGGCTGTGAGGGATGCCTTAGGCTAGTTCCTAGTAACTCTACTAAGTTGAATTGTTCTGAGGAAACTTCCTCCTAACAGAAGTTAGAGCTGGGATACTAGGTAGCAAACGTGTTAATATTGAAATAAAAGTTTTATAAGTGTGAAAGTGACAGTTCAAATGACAGTTTCCTAGGAATAAAGGTAATTAAGTAAGTAGTAATGAAAGTAATAAAATACAATATTGCTATATGACAGACAGATGACAGAATATATGTGGGCCTGAGTCCAGAATGGAATGTGAATTAAGAAAGAAAGAGTTACAGTCTGTTGCAATGTAGGACTGGACAAAATCTAGGTAGATGCTGCAGGTCAAACTGAGCCACCTGAGCTGGGTATTTCGGGTCCATTGGAGTGACACTTCTGATACAAGTTGTATTACTCAGAGTTTTAGTAGAGAAAATAGAATAACACAAGATATGAAAATGTAAAAGGAATGACAAGATTGGCTTACAAAGGTCATCCACAGAGTCCAATGAGGAAGTGTCTGCATGCTGGAGGCCAAAGGATTCAGTCTAAGGGCTGGAGTTCACTGCAGCATCCCACGCAATTCCACACCCGCTGGCTGATGGGTCTGTGACAGAAGGCTAAAGAGTCTATTCCAGAACTTCAGGGATCCAAGGCAGAGGCTGAAGGGTCTGTGCTGGAAGCCAGGAGATGAGGTTCAAGCCGAAGGCAAAGACTGGAACCTCACCTGTTCTCCCTCTTTTCCTTTTATACTCTTTTCCTTTTAGCCACCCTAAAGGTGTAGAATTGCTAAGCCAATTTTGTTAATCTTCTAAAAGTCTCAAGTTGACACAATCATCCACTACACAAGTCCACTCCCCTCGAATGCCTAAGAAGGGGTTTGAGCCTCTTTTTCTTTGCTAATTCTGGAAGTCTGCATGGGAACCAGGGCTCCTGCCTGGTTCCTGGAAGCTGAGTTCAAGGTCCGCCCTTTCCTTTGCATCAAAGGCTTTGGGCAGAGCTGTGAGCCTCTGTTAGCATTCTCAGCTGCTGCTTGTGAAAGAGCACCTGGCAGGAATCATGAGTTTAGACCCAACTCTGAGAGCTTTTAGGGGAAAATTCTCTGACCTTGTTCTGTTGCCATTACAAGCCAGGAAGGGAAGAAAAAACAAAATAAACCCTCTGAAATCCTTTCAATTGGGATTTTAAGAGTTCCATCAAGCAGAAGGGACAGGCAAGTGGGGAAAATCAGGGTTGCCCAGCAAGAAAAAATGCAGGAGTGAATCAGGGAGAAGATTCCCTCAGGATAGCATCAGATTCTGAAATCCTGCAATTTTGCTGTTTCTACCCTGGGCTTCTTAAGATATTCCTGCATTCATGGGACATTCATTTTTGCTGGAAACTGAAAGATTCCCATCACATTCCCTGGGTCACCTCTTGCATGCTCTGAACCACTGTGACCCTTGCTGGCTCTACCCCTTTCTCCATGCAGATCTTTCCACCCCTGCAGCCTTTCTCCTTTTCCCGGAGCACCTCAACATAGACTCCCTCGCTTTCCCTCTTGTCACATGCAAAGTTGCTGGACGTGCACTGGGTCCTCCTCTGCACTGATTCACCATGCATGGGGTGGGCTCCAGGAAGTGACCTGAGAGGGAGGGTAAACTAGAGCCAGTTTTACTTCTGTTTCCCTGTCACTGCCTGAAAAGGGCTGTGGGTACAGGGCACAGGGACAGAGAGCATCTTTTGGATTTCAGAGGTAAATGTTCAGTTTCTTCCCCTTCACTTCCCTTTGTCACTGTTTCTTCTCTCTCACAAGGTTATTAAAGGGCTGCCTGCTCTGGAGAATTAGGGCTGTCCTTAGTCCCTGGTTCTCCTTCTTATTTAGGTACAAGGCTGTGAGGACCAGGCATCATCACAGCAATGAGCCGGCAGCTCTTCTTCTTGCTATCTGATGGAAACAACATAGTCCTTGTACATGAGCTGCACATGGGAACAGACTTAGCAGTGAATCAAAAGAAACTAGAGAGAGCTTTCAAATACCAGTATAGGCATGAGTTTTAATTCTTATTCCATTATCATATTTAGGTTTTCAGCACAGATATTTTATTTGCCAGTTAACAGGTAGGATTTATAAGATGATGTGACTGTTTTTCATATTTCATCTCAGGGCTGCATGTGTATGGCTTTCTCTTTGGACAGCTTGTGCCCCGATAAGACTATCATAAGCTACTAATGGGAGAGTCGGGCAAGTAAATCTGACCGTGCTATGTGCTGGATGTAGCAGTCACATGTATAGAGCCAGTGTGAATGTGTAAAAATGGCAGAAGAAGGCAAATCAAGGCATGAATATATTCATTAAAATGTCAGTAGAAGGAAGATCTCTTGAATTAGCTTAAAATGATTAAAATATTTGGCTTGTTTTAAAAACAAACATGTTAAACCTCAGTACAAATTTCCAGAGGCAGACTCAAGAGTCTAGGGCAAATCTGATTCACTCACTATGCAACCCTAATTTATTTATAGTGCCAAAAATTCTCTTTGTGAGGTAAAACCCCAATTATTCAAAGAGTAGTGGGCTGATAATGCTAAGAAGATGCACACAGATGAGAGAAGAGGCTATCCACTGTATACATGATTCCCACTTTCCTCCAGAAAAGAGAAAAAATTTTAGTGTAAGACCCAGATTCCTTTTCCCATTTCTTGGAGGACAAATTTTTCTGGTTTTTTAAACAAATTTATGTACTCAGCTGACTGTGGTAGGTAAGGCCATGCTACCTCATGGGGTTCAGATCTGAGTGAGAAGATGCTGCACCTAGAGTTAGGAAGACAGATGGCAGAGACTCTGGGCCTGAGAGTGGGAACTCAGAATGAAGTCAGAGACCTGAGAGGTCCTAAAGGATCCAAAGTGACACAGCAAGAAAGGAAGGACAGAAAGAGGGATTCCTAAGTGCTGGGCCTCATGACAGATGGAAAGTATCCAGGGTAAATGAAAAGATCCAAGGACTTTGTAGAAAGGATGTGGAAGACACAGAAAAGTGCAAAGGACTTGGAGGGGCAATACGAGATATGGAGAGGACTGAACCTGGTGTGTGGGATATCCCAAGTGTGTAAGGTGCCCAGATAGGGACTTGGACCCTGGAGCAAGAGGCCAATGAGCTAGGGAGGGACCCAAGGCCCCCCAGAAGGATAGGAAGAGGTGCTGAGTAACCCAACGAGGGGTATAGGGAACCATGCCTGAAATGGGGCACTTTCAAATGGACTGAGAAATAGGAGGAGAACCAAAGAGAAAGAGGCTTGGCACAGCATATGGAAGAGACATGGAAAGATCAGAAAAGGCAGAGGGACATGGAGAGGCATGGAGTGATCTTACCAGGGTAGGAGAAAACTGAGCCTGGACTGGGAGAACCACAGGTAGTCAGAGGGAGCTGAGGGCAAACAAGTTGATAAGAGGCCTCATGTAGACAGGCAGCAAGAGACCCTCGCTGGACTGTGGTATCTAAGGAGGTACTCAAAGAGAAAAGAAGGAGCCATGGAAGGACCAGAGGACATGGGTTGGGTCTCACTGATAGGTGTGCGAGCACTTGGAAAAGACTTAAAATCTGGGGACCCTTGCACTGTCTGGGTGCAGAGTAAGGGCTGGGCAGATCTGGGGCACCTGCATCCAGCTCCTTGTGTGTCTGGAGGACTGTGGATTTCTCAGCAAACAGATGAGCATCACCAGTTCCAGAGGCCCCACGGCCTGCATTAAGTGCCCAGTGCAGTCTGCCCCAAGCCCAGACTATTCGGCACCCTCCAGGCTTCTGGGTGCAGTGAAGTGGCTAAGTGGGCCCCAGGTGCCTACATCTGCCTCCCCATTCCGCCTGCGCTCGGAGAACTGTGGAGTTTCCAGCAAGCAGGCGGACACACAGTGTCCCTGGAGCCCAGCTTATCTGGAACTACGGAGTTCTAAACAGGCAGAAGATGGCCACTGGGTCCAGAGGTCCAGCGGCCTGGAGGAACTGGGTGCCAGAGTCCCAGGAGCTGCAAACATAGAAGTGGATTTCTTTTTTTTTTTTTTTTTTTTTTTTCTTTTTATCTTTTTCCTTTTTACCGGTACCGGGGATGGAACTCACGACTGCCAACTTGCAAGGCAGGCACTTATACCGCTGAGCTAAATCCCCAGCCCATTGAAGTGGATTTCCAACAGACCCTGAGGAAGCTTTCCAGTAACACTTGAAACACAGAAATATAGGAAAATGAAAAAACAAAAGACAAAATTACAACCTCAAACCTCCAGCCCATCTCAAGAAACCCTAGGAGTGATGTAAATAGAAGAAAATATATGCCATACACCTCAAATATCAGACATAATGGCTACTGAAATAAACAAGCAACTCCAGGAAGCTTTAAAGGAATTCAAACTCGAAATAATCTCCCAGGTAAAATAAGAAATGATAAAAGAAATGAAAGAGATTCTGACTGTATCTAAAGAAAGCACAGTTAAAAAAATTGGAAGAACTAAACAAAAAGATAGAATCCCTAGATGAGCACTGTAAGAAGCAAACAGAATACATAAAGCAGATGCACAGAGATATACAGGAAATAAAAAATTCCACTGAAAGGTATAAAAACCACCTCAATGAAAGTGAAGATAGAATTTCAGACCTTAAAGATAGGATTGCAACTAGTGAACAGGAAAGAAAAGATATTTTAAAAATAACAAGGAATCAGGAAATAACAATTCAACAACTGCAAGATGATGCAAAGAAAAATAACCTAAGATTGATAGGGATTAATGAAAAAGAAGGGGACAACATAAAGGATGTCAAGAGGATATTTAGAGAAGTAATAGCTAAAAATTTCCCAAGCATGAGATCAGAAACCAACATCAGGTTCAGTAAAGCCTATAGAACTCCAAATAGTCATAACCAAAATAAAACTACACCCAGACATATAATAATCACCATCCCAGAAATCCAACACAAGAATAGATTATTAAAAGCTGTCAGAGAGAAAAGACAGATCACTTATAAAGGAAAGCCTATCAGAATCACAGCAGACTTCTCAGCACAAACAATAAAGTCAAGAAGAACATGGAGTGAAGTATTCCAGATCCTAAAGCAAAATGATTTCCAACCTAGACTGATGTACCCTGAAAAACTATCATTCAAAATTGATGGTGAAATACGATACTTCCATGACAAAGAACAGCTGAAGAACTTCATGAACACCAAGCCAACCCTGCAAAAAATATTGAGAGACAATTTAGATACACAAAGGAAAAAACCATTAAGCAAAGCAGATAATTAAACAGAACAGAAAGATAAAGATGCAACAGCAGAGAGATAACATGTCATCAATAAACAAGCATATAACAGTTATAACCATTAATGTAAATGGTCTCAATGCACCAATTAAAAGAAACAGACTAGCAGAATGGATCAAGAAACAAAATCTAACCATATGCTGTTTACAGGAAACCCATCTAACCCAGGATACTCACAGACTGAAAGTCAAAGGATGGAAAACAATACTTCATGCAACAGGAATCCTAAAAAAAGTAAGAGTAGCCATTCTGTTTTCAGACAACATGAGCTTTAAACCAACAATGATCATAAAGGACAAAGAAGGTCACTACATACTCGTTAGGGGAAAACTCCAAGAGGAATAGATAACTATCTTAAATACATATGCACCAAACTCCAGAGCACCCAGTTATATAAAACGATTATTAACAGAAATGAAAACTCAAGTTATCAGTAACATAATTGTAACAGGAGACCTTAACACACCATTGACATCAAGGGACAGATCAACCAGACAGAAAATGAGCAAAGAAATAACAGAACTGAATCACACCTGTAAACAAATGGACTTGATAGACATATACAGAATGTCCCACCCCACAACATCAGAATACACATTCTTCTCAACAGTACATGGGTCATTCTCTAAAATAGACCATATATTAGCTCACAGAACATATTTAAACAAATGCAAAAG